TGTTTTCTATTCAGAAGTTTGCCAAACTTCTTTAAAACCCCAGGTCTTGATGCTCTTTAAAGACCGTTCTAGTATTCTGTGTGTGTCAAAAAAACACTACTGTCTCTACCTCCTACTAACATTTTTCTCTTGCCTTTCAATGTAGAAACAGCATTTTCAAAATTTATAAAAAGATGATCTACATAGTCCAGAGCTTTTCAGCATAGGTAACTGAACTTCATAGGTTACTAGATGATTTTGTTTTTTTGTTTGTTTTTTTTTTAATATGTGTGAGTACATTGTTGCAGTCTTCATACACACCAGAATCCCTTTACAAAGGGTTGCTGGGAATTGAACTCAGGACCCCTATGGACTTCAACACAGACCCAGCCTCGTGAGACCACGGAACTTCCTAGGTTTTGACACCATTAATGCTTCCTGCCAGAAGATAAAGCTTTTCCGGTTCTCAACCTCTCCCTCCCTTCCATCATTACACAGTTTTCTCCCTTATGGGGTAAACCTCTTTTCCCTTGACTTCTTTGACACTGTGTTTCTTCTGCTTTTCCTCCTGTGCTTCTAAACATTTTCTTTTTATCTCCTAATGATTCTACTTTCCATCATTCACCTGTCCTTCTGAAGAGCCCAGGGTCTGTAGTTTGGTGATGACCTGTGGACTCATTTCTCTAAATCTCACTCTTACTTGAACTCAGATCTCTCTGACTCCTGACTTAAAGAGAAATGTTCAGTAATGTCTCTTGCTCTTTTTCAGTTCCTCCATCTCCATTTGTTTGGGTCATTGTTCTTTTATCTCCCTTAACTGGAAACTTTTGACAAAGACATGTTTCTTCCCTGACCTTGTGCCATTTTTAAATCAATTCTTAATTTCCCATTATTTTATTTTAACTGATGTTTGTTTCTCAGAGGTGCTGAGGCTCAGGCCTGTGTGTGCTGGGCCAGTGTGTGAGTTCTAAGCATCCTCTTAGTCCCTCCTGTATTCTTTACATATGTAATTTCAGCTGCTTGATAGACTGTCACTCTCACCTGGGTTAAACTCTTCTTTTCGGTATATTCTCCTTCTGGTTGATCTGGCTTGTTGAGTCTTTTTTTAAGATCCATATAGTTTATTATATGAAAAATACTGAATATATTCTTTTTGGAAGATAGCAGGATGAAATAATAGAGTCTCCGTTCTATCTCTATTAAAGATGCTGTCAGAGATCACCCTCTCATCTCAAATGATCTCTGAGTCTTAGTGATGGATCACATGCTCGGCTGTTATCCCTCAAAATTGATAAAAGCCCCAGGAGAATGTACATTAAAGTTTGAAGCACACTATTTTAAGAAGTGAGAAGTAGCCCTTGTTTTTAAAACATGCTGCCAAAAAATAGCTGGAATTTAATTCCCTTCTTCTTTACTTATTTCATATTCTCCTTGCCTTAATTAGCTCCTGAAAGAATGAGTTCTTATCCTGGAGTGATGACTCAAACCTACATTTCCAAGGGGTCTGAGTCATTCTTAATATGTATAGGATAGCTTTAGGCTTCCATCAAGTTTTTCTCATGGGATGCTACTGTGTGGGTGGGGAGGAAGGAGCTGATCCAGGTTTCCATAACCAGCTGGTGGGCCTGGTATAGACTTTATGGTATAGTGGAGACAGAAAAAAATTAAGTCATTTCCTTATCACTTAGAATTTCAGAAAACAGGTCCAAGCCTAAGTTTCGTCTGTAGAGTAAATGAAGATGCCTTCCTGGGAGATTGATGTGAGAGGATTCCTGGCATGGAGTTGGTGCCTACGTTGCCCTTTCCTGTTCCTCTGGTCGAAGGGTGATTGTAAAAATATACTCTTCATACTTCTTCTCAAGACTAGGAGAGAGAGCAGATATTTATTGTCTACTGTAGCTTATGGAAGCTTTACTAGCCTTTTAAAAATATCAGTACCTCTTTGTGCCAGGATGGGACCTGGCAGCAGATGCCGGAACTGCAGGCCACATCCCCAGGAGGGAGCCAGTCTGTGCAGCTGAGGGATCTGGAGATGGAGTTTTCCACCATGTGATCTTCCTTTTCTCATAGATATTATAAAACTGCTCACTGGTAAAGGCTCAAGATGGCAGGAACTAAGGAGAAAAGAATTCACTATGTCCCTTCATGTGTGGAAGGCAAACGCTCCTGTCTTCTGGCCAATTTCTAAACAATCCTGCAGCTATAGCTTCCCTCCATAGTCTGCCCATCGAGGGGACAGCCTTCTTTAGTTTGCTTCTTAAGTGTATACTGACACTGTCATCCCATTTTCTTTTATCATAGAAACAGGAGATGGTTGGGCATGGTGACACATGCCTGCAGTGTCACCATTAGAAGCAGGGGGATCAGTAATTCAAGCACAGTCTCAGATACACATAATCAGGTTTAGGGCTAGCCTGGGGTATTTAAAACCCTGCCTTAGAAAACAAACAAAAAATGCAGGGGAGCAGTAAGTGGATGTCTTTTGACTTTGAACCTGGGGCCGGACATACCGACACACCCACACACCCACAATGAAGTTTGTGTTGTTTAAATTGAACTAGAAAATAAAGTAGATGGTATGGAAAAAATAATACCAGGATATCATCATTTTACATGGGAAAAAAGAACATCATGGGAATAAACTAAAATTTGTATTTTGAGACAGGTTCTTCCTGTGTAGCCTAGGACGGTATCAAACTTTTGATCCTCCTGCCTCTGCCTTGCTAGTGATGATAAAATGGTTATCCTTAGATGGAAGAATTATAAGTAAAGTATCTTTTATTAATCTATTATTTTCACACGGTCTGAATGATCATATGAATTCCAAATAAAATACAGCCACAGTTTATTATATGATTAATAAACACAAAATAAATAAATAAATAAATAAATCTCAGACTTTTTTTCAGAGCTGGAGATTGAACCCAGGGCCACATACATGCTAGAAAATTCGTTATACCTTCTGAGCTTTGAGTTTCTGTTTCTTGGGCAAGTGATATGTAGCTCATGCTAGACAGAGGCAGCAACAATATCACCAGACAGCAATGTAAGCATGAGGAATAGCAGCAGACACACTGCAGTGTGCTGCATTGTGAGCCATGATCTTTAGTTAGGATAGATGTGTTAAATCATTTTGGGCATAATTTCTGTTCACAATGGGTTTAATCAGGATACAACTCCGTCATCTGTCCAGCGTCTGTAGCACACCAGTCTCTTTTGAAGGCTGTCTTACTTCTTACAGGTCAGAAGCAATGGTTCCCACGGGGAACTCGTGTCCCCTCTTTGTATTTATTGTTTGAGAGACCGTTGTCATCTCTGCTGTTTTGTAACTTCCTAGGAGGAAGGAACACTCTCTGATCTTTCCTAGTGCTTTGCACAGTAGCTCTCCAGTAAGTGCCATTGAATGGCCATAATTCAAAATCATTGAGTTAGGATTTTTTGTGATTTGATAGGTCCAGGGACAAGAAAGAAGGAAGAAAGTGTGGAGCTTACTCCACAGGGTGAGAATCATGTACCTGCAGTATCCAGGGCTTACAGCCTAGCCAAGGCCATATGGTGGGACGATGGTGGGATGAAGGAAGGCTTTCTGGTTAGTTACCTCATCTCCCTCAGCCATCTTCCTTTCTTTGAACTTGACAATGTGGTCCCTCTTACTGGCTACCTATTGCTATAAAGCATATCCCTTCAAAACAAAATTATTGATTATCTTTTATAGTTTCTGTGGGTCAGGAACTCGGAATGCCTTGGCTAGTGTTTCAGCTGGTTATAGTCAGGTGGTTCTTTGGCTTAGACATCTAAGCTTTGACTGAGTCTTTAGGATTCATTTGCAAGATCACTCACATGGCTAGCAGATTAGTACTGGTGTGTGGATCCCTCCACAGGGACCTCCAGAGGTCTGTGTGTACCCTCACAATATAGTTTCCTCCCTTGGTGATAGAAATTCAATATCACAGAAACTAAAATACTCATGTAATGGAAGTCTAAACAAGTCACATTTTATCACTTCTCTTATGTTCTATTAGTAACGTAAGTGATTCCTGATTTGCTCAGGTGGGTGATTATATGTGAGTGTGAATATCAAGTATCAAGGATAATGGACTTGTAGAAGGCCATCCCAGGTCAGCTACCATTTCATTGTCACACTGAGATTCCTCAGTAGAGCTGTTGATTCATTTTCACTGCCCTTGCCATTGCTAATTCAGGGTCCTGTTCTATATTCTTACCTTAGGCTCTTGCCTTCCTTAACCCTCTCTCCACATCATTGCTTCCTGAAGCATAGTTCTGAGAATATTTTTCTCTTGCCCATCTTTAGGAACCAAGGTATATACTGCAGACTGCAAAGGTATTTGTTGTTCTTTGTTAAAATATCACCACAGACATAGTAACCTAAAACAGTATACCTTTATTATCTCAAGGTGTCATGGGTCCTTGCTAAGGCTTCAAACAAGGTGTCAGTTAGGGTTACCTCTCAGCGGAGTCTCCACTGGGAAGGAAATTGTTTCCAGTGTCATGTGGTTGTTGGCAGCATTCAGTTTCTTGTAGAGATTATTGAACCAAGGGTCTCAGTTTCTTTCTGTCTCCCACCCCCACCCCTTGCTGTCGTACAGGAAGCTGCCCTTAGTTCCCTGCCACATGGCTCTCTTATAGCATGCCAGCTGGCTCAACACAACGAGCAGGGCAGAATGTCTTTCAGCAAGACAGGAGTTTAAATATTTTGTAATGTCACCACATAAAAGCACTCATGTACATTCTCTCTCATTTCCCTCATTCTGTTAATCAAAAGCAGGACATAGATCTGGGGTGTGGGGTATGAAGCTGTGAAACGGTATTAATACCAGAGGGGAAGAACAACAGGCCATTTGATAGTCCATCTGCTTCCACTGTGTGTCTGCTGTACCCTGCTGTCCATGTCCATGTACATACATGTACATGGTGTACATGGAACAAAGTCCAGTATCTGAATGAATGATGTTCTGCTTCCAACACCAGCTTAAGCATGTTTCTCTTCTCTTCTGTTTCAGAGTTACTGATTTATTCCTGAGACTAATCTGCTCTGAGCCATCCTCATGGATGAACTTCAGGATGTTCAACTCACAGAGATCAAACCACTTTTAAATGATAAGGTAAAGACGGTTTTGTTTTAGCTAAAATATGTATAGATGGTTTTCTTGTGCTATTAATTTTTTATATATGAAATACTAAGTAAAATACTTAGCTTGATGATTTTTATTGATGGGAATACTTTTTAAAATTCATTTCCTAACCTACTCTTTGATGTCTCCCCGGCCCTTTCTTTTCAGTAAGCAAATTCAGTCATATTTTGAACTTTTTCTATTTTATAGAAAGAAAAAAAATAATATGACCAACTTAAATAGAAAGGGTGAAGGGAGTATTTGATTTAGGATCCAAACACTTGACTCTCAGTTTCTTCTATAAGGAGATTTTATCATGCATGGCTAGTGATGAATGCAGGCTCCAGCACTCTCTCAAAAGTTTGCTAAGTCTCCCATGTGACCATTTTCATCAGAGATAGACATCAGGAGTTTACCTTATTTTTTGGTGGTAAAGGTGTTTTTTATGAGACAAGGTTTTTCTGTGTAGCCCTAGAACTCACTTTGTAGACTGGCCTCAAACTCTGCCTCCGTAGAGCTGGGACTAGAGGTGTGCACTACCACATCCAGCAGAATGTACCTCATTTTTATCTTGGTGTTAGAGAGTTTCATGATGAATGGCATACTTGAAAGCCACCAGAGCTCAACAGATCTTTCTTGTCCCTTCCAGTTTGGTGTACACACCAGAAACTCTTTGCTGCACTGTTCTTTTGGCCCATTGTCCAAATGCCTTCTTAAATACTTTATAGCAGTGTGGGTCTACAGCATCCTTAGAGGAAAGAGTGGAGAGGGTGTGGGGAGACAGGTGGGTGAGAAAGGATGAGAGCACCGAAAGACGTTAATGCTAATTTCTTTCTCTGTCCCAAGCAAAGCTCTTTATAACAGCTTTCTCTACTGACTTAGATTTTCACTAAGTTATATTGCATCCTGACAGCCCCATACTCTTCTCTGTGACCTTTTCTCTCTGTTATCCTTCCTTTGACTTCCACTAGACTTTATGTTCTCTTCTTTGGCAGTCTGTACTTTCTAAAGACCTTCTTGATTTCTGTTGACTGCCCCCACAATGTTTCCAGAAATCTCTATCCATTAAATACCATTTTTCTGTGTATATGAAGGACTTTACGTAAAAGGACATGCCATGAAGAAGAGGAAGATACTAAAATCTATAGCCTTAAAGCTCAGGTCTAGCCACAGAAATGAATATTCTCAGGGCAGGAGAAAGCTGACAGTTTAGCTTCAGCAAGGAAATAACCTGTCTTCAGTCTTGTTAATCATCAGAATCAGGTAAGGGAGTGTTTAAAAATGCAGATCCCAGATCCCACTCCAGACCAGTCTAAGGGGTAAAGACTGTGGTCAGCACGTTTCAGGTTTGGCTTCTGATTGTAGCTACCTATGGAGATGTAAGAATCACTAATGCCAAGTCATCCTTCCTTACTGATACCTTACTGGACTGGTCTAGGGTACAGTGTAGTTTTTTTTGTTTGTACTGAAGATTAAACCAAGGAATCATGGTTGTCAAGTGCTCGGCCACTGAGCTACTTATAAATAAAGGCATTGCTTTAATATTTGCTTGAATATTATAGAGTGAATTCTGTCCCCGAAATTTTACACACTGAAACTTTAGCCCCCATCACATGTGACTTTTGGAGAGAAAGCCTTGTGATGGTCTGTTTTAATTGTCAACTTACCGTGATCTAGGATCAACTGGGAAGACAGTCTTTCAGTATTGAATATCTAGATTAGGATGGTCTGTGGGCATGACTGGAGGTTTGTCTTGATTATGCTAAGTGATGTGATGGGAAGACAGCCTAGTAGTAGGCAGCACCATTCTCTGGGGTTGGGTCCTGTACTGTATGAACAAGGAGAAAGTAAGCTGAGCACTGGCAGGCATGTCTGTACTCTCTCTGCTCTGGACTGTGGCTGGGACTGGCTGCTTCAAGTTCCTGCCACTCTGACTATGAAGCTGCTGTGGAATATAACCTGGTTTGTGAGCTAAAACAAAACCTTCCTCTCCCACACTTGCCTTTGTTACAGCGACAGTACAAAACTAAGACAGACCTTTATAGAAGTGATTAAAGTTCAGTAAGATCAGAAAGATAGAGAGCCTGATCTGATGGTTGGTGGCCTCTTCTTGTTACCGTATGAGGACTTAGTGAGAAGACAGCCATTTGTAAAGCAGGAAGAGAGCCCTCATCAGAAACTGAAACCTCCGTCTTAAACTTTGCAGCTTCCAGAACAGTGAGGAATTAACTTTCTGTTGTTGTAAGTCTTCCCCTCCATGGTATTTCGTCATGGCCAAAATAAACGGACACCAAGCAAAGCCTCACTCCCTAACAGCTGTCAGTTTCTCTTCGATATGCTGTTCTGTTCCCAACCACTTTCCACATTCCATCTTGCTTCTTTCTCGCTGAGACATGTTCCTGTCCCATTCTTCACTATTCATGGAAGCCCCATGTTGTGACTAAGTAGACAAGAGTCCCTTTGAACAGTGGCATTCCCATGGACCACTGACTTCTTAGCTCTCCGCCTTCCCAACTGCACGGATTCCCTGGCGTTTGAAAACTGCCAGCTCTGGTCAGTGAGTCGGTGCTTTTGTACATGTTGTAAAAGAAGATGATGAGGAAAATGCCTCTCCTCCATCTCCATGGTGTCATTTGATGCTCTAGACAGCTCGGTGAGGTAGAGAGCACAGATAAGGACATTTCCATATTGCTGAGTAGGCTAAAGCTAAGAAAGGAAGTGGCTCACAAATTGAGTTCCAGGTAATGCCTGCAGGTTTTCTTTATATTGGCACTGATGTTTTGGACTGATATTGTTTAGGACACTATTCTATGCATTGTAGAATGTTTAGCAACAACTTAGCCTGTATCCACTAGATGCTACTAGCTGTCCCCTCCCAGTGGTGACAACTAAAAAGGTCTCTAGATATTGCTAAATATTATCTGGGATGCAAAGTCCGTGAATGACAGTCAGTCGTATTAAAAGAAACGCCTCTGGATTTGAGTAGATGTCTTGAGAAGCTTTGCTGTTGTTTTGGCTCCTATCCCTCCCGCTCCCTCATTTTCCTCCTTGCTCCCTTTCTTCATTGTGGGGTATGGGCTATCCTATCATTTACTAAGTACTTTTTATGTGCCAAATGCTTTACATGCATTCTCTCTTAGTGCTCAGATTTCTCTTTAAAGTACTATAATCTTCATTTAACAGATAACAGTATCTGATTGATAGGCCAGCTTGCCCAGTCGGTAAATGCTAGAGCTGGGTCTGAAAACCAAGTCTTTCCTATTCTGAAATGTTCTGCCTGCCTTTGTGACCATGTAGACTTTGCCAGTGTGACTTTTTTTTTTTTTTTATCTTTCAGGAGCAACCTAGAAACGTATATTATATTATTTTACCCCATCTTTCATTTCATGCTTTGCTCTTAGCCTAAGATATTCCCAAATCCTTTCAGACTTCAGGGAGCTAAAGGGAATGTAGACAGACCCTGTTATTACAGGGGAACAACATGTCCTAGGGTGACCATAAGGAAGCATTTTCCATATATTTTAAGAGAAGCTCATGTTCACTTGTCTTATAACTTGTGTTCTTCTCATTTTTATTTTAGTATGACTGTAATTTTGTCTATAGCTCAGAATTGTCAAGAAGTGGGTGAATTTTCCATACTTATTTTAGCTCCAGTAATGAAAAAAAGTAACCAGCAATCTAGAATTTATATATGAGTGGACATATGAGTGTTTTCCCCTTCAAATAACATTATAAATGTGGTAGTTACACAACTATAGTACCAGTGCTTAGAAAGCTGAGATAAGAGAAGACCAAGTCCTAGATTACATAGAAAGACCCTGGTTTATTTAATTCTTTTTTTAATAATTTATTTTAGTTTATATATAGGAGTACACTGTAGCTGCCTTCAGAAGAGGGCATTGGATCCTATTACAGATGGTTATGAGCCACCATGTGGTTGCTGGGAATTGAACTCAGGACCTCTGGAAGAGCTGTCAGTGTTCTTAACTGCTAAGCCATCTCTCCAGCCAGCAAGACCCTGTTTTAAAAGAAAAAGGAAAGCCAGGCCTATGTCTGAAATCCTAGCACTTTGAGGGCAGAGACAAGAAGGCTGTCAAGAGTCTGAGGCTAGTCTGGTTGCATAGTGAGTTCCAGGCTAACCAGGGCTACATTGTAAAACTCTGTCTCAAAAAAGTGTTTAGCCATTTTCAGAGTATTTTTAGAAATACTATATTATTCTCCAATTGAGCATGGTGGTGCACACCTTTAATTCCAGCACACAGGAGGCAGAAGCAGGTAGATCTCTGAGTTTAAGACCACCCTAGTCTACAGAGGTAGTTCCAGGATAGCCAGGGCTATGTAGAGTAGAGAGACCCTGTCTCATCAAAAAAACAAAATAAACAGACAAACCAAATATTATATTATTCTTCTAGCCTCTTTTCAAATACTCAGCTGTTTTACAGATGAGGCTCATACCTGGTCCAGAGCCAGTGTCTATTAAAGAGTTAGAACACAGACTAGCACCTCTAACTTTTTAAAAATGATTTATTTATATGCATTAATGTTTTGTCTGCATGCATGTCTGTGTGAGGGTATCATATCCTCTGGAACTAGAGTTACAGACAGCTGTAAGCTGCCATGTGAGTGCTGGGAACTGAACCCCAGTCCTCTGGAGTCCTTTGCTGAGCTACCTGTCCAGCCCACACATTTTTTTATTGGATATTTTCTTTATTTACATTTCAAATGCTATCCCCTTTCCAGATCTCCCCTCCCCCGTTCTCTGTGAGGGTGCTCCCCCACCCACCCACCTACTCCCGCCTTCCTGCCCTGGCATTCCCTACATTGGGGCACTAAACCCCCATAGACCAAGGGCCGTTCTTCCCATTGATGTCCAACAGCCTACATATTTAATGTTTAATTTTGACCTTGATCAGCTTGTTAGCTGTCCAGACACCTCACCCAGCAGATCTCCTTCCAAGCAGGAGAGCCCACTATGCTTCTCTCTCCCTGTC